AACACACACATACACAAAAAAAAAACCTCACAAAAGTTTCACAGACGTTTCTGCCTGAGTTGGCTTCAAACTGCAGTCCTCTCCTCTCAGCCTTCTGAGTAGCTAGGAATACAGACATGAGCCATGAGTGCCTAGCCTGCTTTCACGCTTCATGTCATCAAGCTCCTTGCAGGGAATTGAATCAACCAGTTTTGGTCATGTGTTTGTCCCTAGGGAGCTGTGGGTGTAGGGGCTAATATAAGACCGCTTCCTCAGTGGTCTGCTCAGAGGAATGGCTATGAGGTCCACTTGAATTATAGAAGCAGGGCCCAGAAGCAAGTATAGCAATTTTTTTTTTGGGGGGGGGGTCCCGTCGTGGGGCCTGAACTCTGGGCCTGGGCGCTGTCCCTCAGCTCTTCAGCTCAAGGCTAGCACTCTACCACTTGAGCCACAGCACCACTTTCGGCTTTTTTCTTTTTGCTTATGTGGTGCTGAGGAATTGAACCCAGGGCCTCAGGCATGCAAGGCAAGCGCTCTACCACTGAGCCACTTTCCCAGCCCCTAGCATAGCAATTTTTAAATTTTTTCTTCTTTTGGGGGGGAGGGTCCGGTTGTGGGGCCTGAACTCTGGGCCTGGGTGCTGTCCCTCAGCTCTTCAGCTCAAGGCTAGCACTCTACCACTTGAGCCACAATGCCACTTCCGGCTTTTTTCTTATGTGGTGCTGAGGAATCGAACCCAGGGCCTCATGCATGCAAGGCAAGCACCCTACCACTGAGCCACCTTCCCAGCCCAGCAATTTTTAAATTTTATTTTTAATTAAAAAAAGTATTTTTGTCAGTTATGGGGCTTGAACTCGGGGCCTGGGTGCTGTCTCTGAGCTCTTTTCTCAAGGCTAGTGCTCTACCACTTTGAGCCACAGCACCATTTCTGGTTTTCTGGTGGTTACTGGGAGCTAAGAATCTCACAGACTTTCCTGCCTGGTCTGGCTTTTTTTTTTTTTTTTTTTTTTTTTGAGCCATGATTCTCAGATCTTAGCCCCGAGTAGCTAGGATTACAGGCATAAGCCACCAGGACCCAGCTCCATAATTTTTTCTAAAGTTTTTAATGCTGGTACTGGGGCTTGAACTTGCTTGGCTTTTTCACCAAGGCTAGTGCTCTACCACTTGAGCTATAGCTCCACTTATTTCCAGCTTTTTTGCTGATTAACTGGAGATAAAAGTCTCTCAGATTTGTATGTCATCCTCAGATCTCAGAATCTTGAGTAGCTAGGATTATAGGTATGAGCCATTGGCACCCAGCAGAGTCTCACGATTTAATGCAAAATTAGTGTTAGATACAATATTAGAAAGTATTTCATTATAAAACAGATAATATCCTCAAAAGTAGAAGAAAAATATCAATTTTATGGATTCTTGTGTGTGTGTATGTGTGCACGCATGTATGCGCATACCCATCCTAGGGCTTAAATTCAGGTCCTGGGTACTGTTCCTGAGCGTTTTCTACTCAAGGCTATTGCTCTACCACTTGAGCCATAGCCCAACTTTCAACATTTCTGGTGGTTAATTGGAGATAAGCGGCTGTCAGAATTTTCCTGCTAGGGCTGGCTTTAAACCTTAATCTTCAGATTTCAGCCTCCTGACTTGAATATGTAGGATTATAGTCATGTGTTGCCAGTGCCTGGCACATGGATTCTTTTTGTGTGTGTGCGCCAGTCCTGAGGCTTGAACTCAGGGCCTGGGCACTGTCCCTGAACTTCTTTTGCTCATCTAGCATTCTATTATTTGACCCACAGCCATAGTTTTGGCTTTTTTCAAGTAGTGTATTGGAGATAAGAATCTGAAGACTTTTTTGATCAGGCTGGCTCTGAGTCATGATGCTCAGATCTCAGCCTCCAGAGTAGCTAGGATTACAGGCTACTAGTCCCTGGCTCATGAATTTTTAACAGAACTGAAGTTATTTATGTATATCATTTTGTGCTTAATGTCTTTCCACTGTACATGGATCCCATATCTACTAGAGAAGCATATTTTGTGACATTGGTGTAAAGAATGGACTTGACCTGTTGTACTCCTATGTGATGGGAACCTTTTGGGTCTATAATTCTGCCAATACTGGGAGCCAAGCAACCATTTCCCAGCTTGAGAAGTTGCTGAGCCCTGCCCTCCTTTCCAGCAAAGGTTCTAACTGGACACTAGCCAAGGAAGATGAGAGCTCCCAGGAACACTATCTTGTAGAAGTCAGGCCCTCACCTCTGTAATCAAGCCCACAGAAATACCATGTGTTTATGCCTCAAGAAACTGAAACCTGCCAAGTGCTGTTGGCTTAAACCTTTGATAATAACCACTCAGGAAGCTGAGATCTGAGGATCACAATTCAAAGCGAACCCTGGCAGACAAATCCTAGAGATTCTTATCTCTCATTAACCAGCAAAAAGCTGGAAGTAGAAGTGTGGCTCTAGTGGTACAGCACCAACCTTGAGAGAGAACCTGAGGTCCTGAGTTCAAGCCCTTAATACCAACACACATAAGTGCACCGCACACGTGCATGTGTGCACGCACACACACACACAGCTGAAGCATTATGACGTTCAGCAGGTTCTTATGAATTTGAATTTCAATCAACTTTCTAAAGTGAATGAACCCATTTTTCTATCAGATTTTACAAGGAGGTTCCTTTAGTTATTTGAAAGGATGTTAAAAAATATGTTTCATGATGGAGTGAATTCATGAGGAATGTGGGAGATTGGAGAATCCTAGTTGAAATAGAGCCATCGCCATCTTAATCATGTCCTGTGTAAATTCAGATGTGTGTTCAAGCCTCTGAACCTGTGTATTTAACAAGTTAAAACTAACAGCCTGCCTGTCTCAACCTTTCCTGACATTTGCTAAGGGAATAGAATTCACTGGGATTAGGAGTTCAGAAGTCTATCCCCCCTGAGCTGGAGAAATCTGGATTGGCTTCTACACCAGAAAAGCTTGGCCATGTTCTTGTGAACAGAGGCCACCCCTCAGGACTGCCTCAAATCACTCTCAAAGGGTCTCAGCTTCTGTTCCTGAAAGAGTATTATTCAATTTTGCTGTTGGATTCATCTCATGTGATTTCAAGGGGCCAAGGACCTTGTGACTTTTAGACTAGGGGAAAAAGTAATCATATGAGAAACATGTGAGCATAGTTATAGAACTACTTGGTGGCAGCAGGTGTGGAGGTAGGAGGGGCAAAGGCCACTTCCCTAAGGAGGGGAATGTGAGAGGAGAAAAAGATGCCTCAGAAATTACCTAGACCCAGGATAGAGGGTGGGGTGTTCAATTTCCAAATGGGGAGTACCTCTGTGTTTAACTCTTGAATGAGGTGAAAGAGTAAGGGATGGCCTTCTAGGCTGGGGGTAGTGGCCTTACCACTCTGGCTATGGTGTAATGAATGGCAGTAACAATGAGGGGGCGTGGGACACTGGGCATGGTGGCAGAGGCCAAGTGTTAGCACCTTGTCCTTTGAAGGGCTCAGGGAAGATGGAGGGCTTTTAAGGCAAGAGGTGGGGATGAGAGGAGGTTGAGGGTTACCAGATTTATAAACAGAAATTGCTCTGGTTACAATGTGGAGAATAGATTAGGGCATATGACCCACTGGTTTTGACCTTGCTATATCCTATAGTCGTAATTCTTGCTCCAGGCCTTGTCTCTTGACTGCTGGCCTGAGACTTCTTCTATCGTCTCCATGCCGCTTGACTTCAATGGGGCTGTCTGACCTACCTTTCAACGCCTGTCAGTTAAAAAATTACATGGTGATCCTTCACCAGGCTCAAAATAAAATCCAAACTCTGTAAGCACCCTGAATTCCTTCTCCAGTGTCACATCTAGCCATTTGTCCTCAAGGACCCCCTTAGGCCTTGACCCATGGGAAGAGTGGGTAAAAGCAGGACACAGTTTCAGGGAGAGGGAAAATCTGAGGCCTCATCTGTAGTCCAGAAGGCTGGTTCCATATTAGAGTCAAAAACAAGAGTGTCAGGTTCTACAAGTGTTTCAGAGATCAAGACACTTGAAAAATACTGCATGAGGGACTGGGAGGGTGGCTCAGTGGTAGAGTGCTTGCCTTACATGCATGAGGTCCTGGGTTCGATTCCTCGGTACCATATAAGCTGGAAGTGGCGCTGTGGATCAAGTGGTAGAGTGCTAGCCTTGAGCTGAAGAGCTGAGGGACAGCGCCCAGGCGGAGTTCGGGCCCCATGACTCACCAAAAAAACAAAAAACTGCAAGACAAACATCTGGAGGCCTGGACTTATAGGACAGAGTCCTGAGCACTCAGAGATGAGAGCTTAAGGACAGGACCCACCACCCATGGAAACCTGAAGCTTATCTAGTGAGGATAGCCTAGTAAAGGAAGGCCAGTTGTCTTGAATGTGGAAAGCACTGGGTGTAATTAGCACTGGGAAGGGGGAAAATGTGGTCAGGACTCAACAGACTTGGAACTGAGGGCAAGGACAAAAAGCTCATGTGAGGGTGACTTGATACGACTAAAGTTCTACACATTCTGTCTGCTTAGACTGATTAAGGCTAAGGTTTGAATCAGGGCTAGAGCCAGAAAGGCTCAAAGGCAGGGTCTAGGCAGCTCTTGCCATTGTCCTCATGAAGATACACATAATCTTGTATTGCTTATCCTCAGAGCATATACAAGTCAAGGGCAGTTCCAAGAACTCTCTCCCCATCCCAGGATCTGGGATTGCTTGGGAGACCCCTTCAAACATCCAAGGGGGATGAAACCTCAGCCTCAGTAAGGCTCTGAGCTAGGGGCTTCGCAACTTTAAGGCGGGTCTCTGCAGACTATGACCCTGTGTGGTTCACATGGTAACCAGAGGACTATGACATACTTAGAAGGCGGTGAGGTCACAGAACATAAGCTTTAAAGTAAGTGAACCATATGTGCCTCATTTAATTTTAAAAGAGGCCTCTGAGAAGAGCTTAGAACAATTTTTTCCCTCGAGTGCCATTTCCCAAAGGTACTCACAGAACAATAAGGTGTGACTGTAATGGCTGCACTGAGTTGTCTTTTGGACAGTGTTAGACGGGACATAAAGAAGGTGGACAGAGAATTAAGACAATTGAGATGCATCGACGAATGCACACGATGCCTGTGCGACCTTTATATGCATCCCTACTGCTGCTGCGACCTGCACCCTTACCCCTACTGCCTGTGCTACTCCAAGCGTTCCCGATCCTGCGGCCTGTGTGACCTCTACCCGTGTTGCCTGTGTGACTACAAGCTGTACTGCCTTCGCCCGTCCCTCCGCAGTTTAGAGAGGAAAGCCATTAGAGCCATCGAGGATGAAAAGAGAGAGCTTGCCAAGTAAGAGAACCCTCTTCTTACCTTTGTAGACTGGGCAGATCAGCCTTAGACATTAGTTTGTGAGAAAGGGAGGGAGGTGACCTCTAATACTTGAACAAAGATTAAAAAAAAAAAAAGCTGGACGCTGGTGGCTTACACTACCTTGCTACTTAGGAGGCTGAGATCTGAGGAGTAAAGTTTGAAGCCAACTCAGGCTTTTTATCTCCAATGAATGACCAACAAGCTCGAAGTGGTAGAACAGTATCCTTGAGCAAAAAAATTCAGGGACAGGGCCCAGGCCCTGAGTCCAAGCCTCAGTACCAACACACACACAACACACACACACACACACACACACACACACACACACACACACACACACGAGGGAAAAAAAGTTTAAATGACTAGTGACTTAGGAAAGATTTAAGAAGAGTAACTGGGTCCATGATGGGAATCGTTACAATTTTCCACAGACAACGTAAAATGTCAATTGGCAAGGTTGGTAGTGGTTGATGGTTAGAGTGCCAGAGTGACAAATCAAGGGGGCTTTTTAACAGGGGTGTCATTGACAAGCTATTGGAAGCAGCAAGTTCAACATTTCTTTCTGGTGATGAGTAAAGTGACTTACATATATTTGGACTTTCAGAAAAGTAATAATTGATCAAGTCCTTAATGTGAGCCAGAGGCCTCAAGAACAGGGAGCAAATTGAACAGATATTTCTTCAGAATTGTAGGAAAATGTTTCTCCCAGCTGCCATCTCCAGGCTAAGAGTTCAAGTTCACCCAGTCTGTTGGCCACTTCTTCCAACCCCAGGAAAGCTGTGCAGATAAACCAGAGGGTTAAGTAGTAACTTTCACAATAGACTCAGGTTTTTCATTGAATTAGTAATTTAATTTTTTTTTGTTTTGAAAGTACTTTTTAGTTAGTGATTATAACTTTCAGACTTTATATATCTTTTTAGTTTGTGAGTATTAATGAAAAAGAAAATGCTGGTTAAATAAATGAGGATACAATCAAATTTTGGAATAACATGTTTAAAAAAAAGGGTGAGTAACACATTTTATGTAGTAAGCAGTAAAAGTCAGGTGGGGCAGAAAAACTTGGTAAGAACATTTTAAAAAAGATAGGTGTAGCTAGATAAGAATCATGGAAAAACAGATGGTGATAGATGGATAGGTGGGCAGAGGTAGGCGGAGTCCCTTGACAACGGTGACAGTGATGATTCACTAGAAAGAACAATAGGACAATGACTGATGAGGCCTTCAGCCACCAGGGGGAGAAGGGGCTTTCCTCATAATGGGATTAAGTAATCACCTACAAGCTCATCCACACTGTGAATTAACGCTTATTTTTTGTCCCTTTTTAGGATATCGAGTCCTATGACCTGCTGTGAGGCAGGGATTCTTTTCAATTTGGTCTAAATTAAGGGCTCTGTGCCCATGTTCCTCTACATCTTTGAACACTTGACTACCTGGGTCCAAGTACTTCAGTCTTGAACTTCTGGCTATTCCCTTCTTTCCACTCTCCACTGGAACAATGCCTCACTGTCTTTCCACATCTGCTTTCTCTTCCGGAGGCCTATTTCTTGACACACAGGAGACACAATCTCAGCTTCATTCTTGCCAGAGTAGTTCACGCAGGAGGTTAATGCTTTTTCTGCTTCTCCTGACCATGCCTGAATCTTTCTTTGTACCAGCAGTGTGAGGCTGGTGATGTCCTTACATTCATTCCTGTACCTCTGAATAGATAGCCCCAAGTCCATTTTGGAAGTGACCTGAAACTTGCCCTCTTTTTATCTCTCCTTGGCCATTTTTTTCTCTCATTCATACCACCTGGGGAAATTTCTATGTTCTATTTCTGACAGCTTGACATTTCACAATCCAGAGGGCTTAATGTCATCTGTAAGCCTAAATCTTCAATTTTTCTGAATAGGAGTGAAAAATATTAAGCCCCGATCCTAGCTCCAATCCCAGATGAGTTAAATGTTTTTTTTTCTTCCAGTGAAAATGCTTTCTCCCCACGTATCTCTAACCTAGCTCTTGATCCATGACTAAATATATCCATAAATACCATATCAATTCAATTTTTTTAACAATGTCTGGTGTTACCCAAGGCTTTTTGAGTTTAGAATTCATATTCACATGACCTTTCACCCCTCAAAAAGAATGTTGAAGTGTTGGCTGGTTGTGACATGTCTTTTCAGATGTCAGTCTATATTATCCAGAAAATTCTATCTCAAGTTTGTAGTTGCCTGGGTCCTACTAAATTTACTTGTCAGTGTGAGAGGCTCTTGCTCTATCTCTAGGTGTTTTTTTGTGACTGGTATAAAAGCCTCTACCAAAAATTATTAAATTGAGACTCCTCTTGAGTCCCCCTCTCCAGATGGAGAGTTTTTGCTACTTTCTTCCACTGCTTTCCTCTTACTTCCAAATAAACTTCCTTTTATTCCATTAAAGAATATTAAATTCCCTAAAGTTTCTTGAGTGTGCCTAAGTATCGTTTCTTTGGGTGATACAGATATGCACTTGGGTTTTATTTTTAGACTTGGGCAGAAAAGAGCCAGCTCAATCTCTATTTCTTCAACAGCTGCTTCAAAAGAGTATTGTCCTTAGTACTCAATTTAGCACTTTTGTGTCCCATCTTTTTGATGCTTCCTTTTTCCTCTAAATTACCTCTTGTATCCTCAAACGAAGCAGTGTTCCTGCCCTCCTCCTCTCTTCAGGATTCAGAGAAAATCTGAATCTTGTTCCCTTCACAGGTCCAGCCAGCAACCTCAGTTAAGTAAGCATTGGACTCACCTCCACACTTCATGGGCTTCCTTATTTTCTGCACAAAAGCTGGAGAAATAGAAACCAGTTCCTCCTAAATCCTGGCTGTAGAAGTTTATTATCCAGTTAATGGAGGGATGCCCATTGGGGCTTCTGCTCTAGATCTGGAGGCTAAATACACCTTGATTTGCAGGTGGTGTCTTTTTGATCTGGGCTCCATCTCTGCCCCTTTACTGGTACTCCAAAACAAGTTTCAGTGGTCACAAAGCATCAGTGGTTAGCCTAAATCTCATTAAGAAAATCACACGAAATCACTCAAAAATCACACGAGTTTCCATCCTAAAACTTTAGAAATCAACCTTTTAAAAATGTCTTTTCTTGGTACTGCTTCATGATCTGAGTTTGTTTTCAGTGAACCCACTCTTAGCCAGTTAGGGTGAGACATCAGAACTGGTGACAGGTTGGCGCTGCCACAGAGAGGAGAGTGCCTTGCGTGCCTCTGGTTCCTCTGAGAGGTCCTTGCTTCCAAAGTGAGCTAGTTCTTCTGTGCCCTGGCATCAAAATCTTCAAACCTGGAGATCTGGGAATCATCAGCCCTTGGATACAAGAAGAAGTGCTGCTGCTCATCTAAAGCCAAGTACAATTTTTGTTTTGTTTTGCCGTGCTGGAGATTGACCTCGGAGCCTTACAGGTGCTAGGTGAATGCTCTTACCATGCACCACTCACACCCAGTCTCAAATGCATTTCTACTATTTGATTTGACCTTATTTAGTGATACAGAGTTAATCACTTCACACTTCAGCTTTTTAGGCCAGTCCATGGAAGGTGGAGCCTGATATAGCCAGATACAGAAGACTTACATTGTACGTTAAAAACTATGTGCCTGACATTTCTTGTTCATTTAATCCTTTTAATATGAACAACAAAAATATCATCTTTATTAAAGATAGCTGAAACAGACTTGGGGGCAATGCTCTTGATCTCTAGGAAGTGGCAAGGCAAGACTGGAAGGAGAGCCATATTTGCCCAACTGGTCTGTGGTTCTCAAAGGTAGTCCCTAGACCAGAATTGGTAACATCCCCTGAAACTTGTTAGAAAAGCTACAGGTCAGCTCCACACCAGACCTACTGACTGAAACTCAAGTGGAACCCAGACATCTGTCAGGAGATCACAGAGCACATGACTGCTTCCTACTACTGTGACATTTGTCTTCCAAAAGTCTGGGGAGCTGAGTGTGATCACATATGTCTATAATCTCAGCACTTAGAGGAGGATCATGAGTTTGAGGCCAGCATGGCCTACATAGATCCTTAAAAAAATGCAATATAGCCTAGGGGGAAGGTCAGCCTCCCCCTCTCTTGCTCTGGGCAGATGATAGTTATTACGTTATTCATCACAGGACTGACACATCCTTGTGAAGATGGCTGACTAGAGAGTTCATATGGCTGTAGGCACAGTTTTCTATGTTGCTGAGCATGGTCAGACCTGGGTGTGAAACAGCTTTGAGAAAAGAAGGCAGAAGCATGGGACACAAACAGCTTCCTCTGAGTTTTCCTATGAAGCCTCTGCAAAGACCCCGAGATTCTGATTCCTGTGTTTACTGACTGTAGTTGAGAGACAGCCCCAGCATAACAAGCACAGGGGCACAGGAGGCAATGTCTTTGTCCAGAGCCACAGAAAATGCCATTTAGGATGGTGGGTGGTTCACTAGACAGGAGTCAAGTTATGAGTTCAGAGTAGTCTGATGAGTCACTTTGGGCTCCTACAATTTCCTCTAAACTCACAAATCCTTGCAGATAACTACAGACCCAGAAAAGCAGTGAGAAACCTGACCTGCCAAGAGCTTTAGGCAAGTTCCCAAAGACCTCTGTATAGCTGCTGCCAGGACCAAAGGAACCACAGAGGCAGGTGTCAGAGGACAGGAGGAATCCAGCACAAAAACATGAATCCTAGCTGCAGGAGGCAGATCTGGGAGTTGGCCTTGCCTGTTAGCTGTTGCTCCCACGTCAGTTTCCTGCAGAGGACAGGTGGGCTTCATCTAGCAGGAGCAGCTGAGGCAGAATTGGGAGCTCAGCAGTGCTGCTTGGTGTCCACAGTCCTCTTGGCTGGGCCTAACTCCTCTGTAGTAGCAGGATTTGATGCTTTTCACGTGGACAAGAGTTTGAGTTTCAGCGATACACCTTTTCCATGAGATTCCTGAGAAACCAGGGCTATGCCCATTCAGTCATGGTGTGGCTACTTAGCTTCAAGTAATGATCCAGGCACAGAGGGTGCTGGGTCTAGTTTTAGGCTGGCTCTTCACAGCTTTGTGAGATCTTCTCTGCCCATCTAATGAGCCAGAATGCTTGGTCTGCAACTTTAGTGACCAGTCCTCATCCTTTCTTCTTAGCATGGCTTTCATTCAGCATGCCAGCATCTTGCCCAGGGCAAGAAAGATTATCCCTATTCCATCTTCAAGTTCTTAGAGGTTGGGTGGAAATGGAGCTCAATTCTTGCCCTTGATGTGCTACTTATGTTGTTTCCTTTCGCCTCTGTCTTTTAGGGATAAATTCTATTGGATCAGGTTGTAATTAGCCACTAAGAGTCTTAGTCTGTAATTTTCAGTAAAAGGATACTGAACACATGTTAAATTGATCCTGTGAGGTCTTAGCAAGTAGAAAATAGAGATTAAAAGCAATATATATGTAGGTATACATATATATGTATAGCATGTTTCCTCAAAACTCTTAATATGTGTAGAAACACACAAGAAAATTTAACACTGAAGTAGAGTTACAGCTATTTTACAATATTTCATCTGAAGAGTTATATCTGCATTTTCTGGATCTTCTATGATGAACTTGTATAGCCTATGTAAAAAATAAAAGAAATGTTGAAATAGAATTTAGTAGAAAGAGGTGATGCACTAATAATCACACATGCATCACAGTTACTGTGAAGATGCCATTGCCATGGCTAGCACTCCCAATAACACATTGAAAAAGACAAAAAGCCTAACATCTGCTAAGGTCCAGCTCATGCCTGTAATCCTTGCTAGTCAGGAGGCTGAAATCTGAGGATCACAGTGTCAAGCCAGCTCAGGCAGGAAAATACTTGAAATTCTTATCTCCAATAAACCACCAAAAAGCTAACACTGGAAGTAGCACTGTGGCTTCAAAGTAGCAGAACACTGGCCTTGAACAAAAGAGCTCAGGGACAGTGTCCAGGCCCTGAGTTCATGCCCCAAAATGGACAAAAAGAAAAGCCAAAAAAAGCTGAACAAAAAAGCCCAGAACAGTGCCCAGGTCCAGAGTTCAGGCCTCAGGACTGGCATATACACATGCAAGCACACACACATACACACACACACACACACACACACACACACATGCCTAACATCCTAACCCTGTGCCAAACATGGTTGGAGATGCTATTCATGCATCTCCTAAGTCAACAACCCAGTGTGGGTAGGGGCTATCATTTCTAGTTTTACAGATGAGGAAAGTAAACACAGAGAGGTTAAATAACTTGTCTACAGAACAGCGCCAGGATGTATTCCAGTCTATTCTCTTCAGCACTTGATCTCTAAATGATCCTAACCAATCAATTGCTATGAGCAATAGCTATTTTTTAAATTAAGGATTTGCACAATAGGGCTGTTGAATAATAAGGCAGCTCTGTAGGAAACATGGCACTGGTATTTAACAAATGTCAATCAGCTCTGCCTGATGTGGCATTTTCCACTTGCCATGGTGTAAAGATTCTTCCTATGGTTGAGTTTGAGCCATTAATATGAAGTCTTAGAATGAGCTCTTTCCGGTACAGTCTCAACTAGAAAACCATTGACAGGTCATTCCATTCTGCGATCAACACAATCCTGCCAAGCAGACTAGTTCTCTACTGGCTCCACTCCTCCAAGTCTGAGACAACCTCAGTGCAGCAGGGGGTCCAGAGCAGAGCTGATGGGAGCTTTCAGGCTGAATGTCTCTGTGATTGCCTAAGAACCATCGGGCCGATCCTAAAGCTCAGAGCCATCTTTTTAAAAAAAATTTCATTTCATTTTATTTCACTCTTGTTTTCCTTCTTATTTTAAAGTAACCTGGATTATAGGCATACCACCCCCATACCACTCTGGTAGCCATCTTAATATGTGTCTTATTAGCCTTGTCCATCTGGGGCTAGGAATGGAATTCAGTGATAAGAGCGCTCACCTAGCCTATCTGAGGCCCTAGGTTTAATCCCCAGCATGGGGAAACAAAATAACAAAATGTCTATCTACATTTAATTGTAGCAGTAGTAATAATAATGCAAGATCTGCAATGTGCCATGTGGAATGTTCAGTAAAAAAAAAACTAGTCTCATCTAAGCATTTAATAGTGTTATGGTCCTAAGTATTCTACTTTCATTTTACAGATAAGGAAACTAAGGCATTGAGAGGCGAAGGCCCAAGTTTAATAACTGAGGAAGAATAAAGATTTAGCCAAGGAAGATCTGGAAAACCAAAGAGACATGGGGGTGGGGGTGGGTCAGTGTGATTCACAAGAAGGGACTCTTGCTTTTACATTCCACACGTCTGTGAAGTTTGATTTGTCATAATGACTTTTTTTCCTATTTAAGAAGACAGCCATTAACCTATTGTCAGGCTGTGCCTGAGTCCTGAGTCCTTTCTTTTACCTCTCTTCCAGACTCAGAAGAACCACAAATAGAATTCTGGCCTCCTCTTGCTGTAGCAGTAATATTTTAGGATCCGTGAATGTGTGCGGCTTTGAGCCTGATCAAGTCAAAGTACGAGTGAAAGACGGCAAGGTGTGCGTGTCAGCCGAGCGAGAAAACAGGTACGACTGCCTTGGATCGAAGAAGTACAGCTACATGAACATCTGCAAGGAATTCAGCCTGCCGCCCTGTGTGGATGAGAAGGACGTAACGTACTCCTACGGGCTGGGCAGTTGTGTCAAGATCGAGTCTCCATGCTACCCTTGCACTTCTCCCTGCAACCCCTGCAGCCCCTGCAGCCCTTGCGGCCCCTGTGGTCCCTGCGGCCCCTGCGGCCCCTGCAGCCCCTGCAGCCCCTGCGGCCCATGCGGTCCCTGCGACCCCTGCAGTCCCTGCTACCCCTGCGGAAGCCGATTTTCCTGTAGGAAGATGATTTTGTAGATTGTACATTAAGAAGTTAAGTTTTAGCAGAAGTCAGCTACTCCAGCCAGGCAGCTCTTCCAGCTTTCTCCACCCCCCCTTCCCGTGGCCCGTTGTTGTTCAAGAACATAGGAAACTAAATACATAACTGCAATCTACTGGTGGTGTGTGGGTGTCTTTTGTCTTTTTTTTGTTCAACCCACCAGGGGAATCTTTGCAGTTAGTGGCATTGGACGAATGGACTGGAATGGAAGAGGAGAGGGTGAGATCTGCCCTCCTGCACTTTCCAATTTTATTTTTTTGTCGGTTATGGGGCTTGAACTCTGGCCTGGGTGCCTTCCCTGAGCTCTTCAGCTTACTATTTCAGCCACAGTGCCTCTTCCGGTTTTCTGGTGGTTAATTGGAGAGTCTCACTGGGGACACTGCCTGGGCTGGCTTTGAACTGTGATTATCAGATTTCAGCCTCCTGAGTAGCTAGGATTACAGGCATGAGACACCAGCATCCAGCTACTCTCTCCAAATTCTTAAATACAACCCTACTTTCCAGGCTGTCCAGTGAAATGGACCAGCTCAGAAAACATACAGTCCAAGCCAGGGTAGTATGAGTTGAAGATAAGCACGTAGCAGTGTCTTGCCATGGTGTTTAATGACAGTACCTACACCCAACTCAAGAGGGCTTAGATTTGCTGGGGCAGGGATCAGAGCAAGGGTATGAGGTGGGGGTAGGAGAACATGTTCACGGAACAAAGATGAGGCAGCCATACAGTTGGTTATGTCTCAACATTCCTGGGATTTTGCGATTGGTCAGCTCTCCTTGGAAGGACTAACTCTTTGGGATTTCTCGCAACTATTTCCTTATCTTAGTTCCTGATATCAATTTCAAACCCAAGGTTCAAAGTTCAGGAGTTCAGCCCAGGAGTGCTGGGTATTAGGTGGCTCATATCTGTAATCCTAGCTACTCAGGATAGCTAATCAGGAGGCTGAGATCTAAAGATCATGGTTTGAAGCCAGCACGAGTGAGAAAGTCCCTGAGACTCTTATCTCCAATTAACCACAAAAATTTGGTACTGGAGGCATGGCTCAAACAGTATAGCACTAACTTTGAGTGGAAAAGCTAAGGAACTCACTCAAGCTATGAGTTCAAGCCCCAATACTGGCACCAAAATTAAAAAAAAAAAACAGGGAAAAAATCTTATCCTATAAAGCCAATGGAAAGTCCCTGAGGCCTTCACTCCTTGAACAAAAAGGCATCTTTGCCCCCACCAGGGGATTCTAGTCCCAAGAATATTACTATTTTTGTTCAAGACTGGGACTTGAACTTTAAGCTTTTGCTCGTTGGCTAGTGTTCTAAAACTTGAGCCATGCCTCCAAATCCAACAGTTCATTTCTGTATTCACCCTCATTCTGCATTTACCTACTCATTTGCTAATTCATCCATCCATCCACCAACCTGCCAGTAAGACATTCTCATTTGAAATACTAGGTACTGTGCTTTGCCATAGGGATGGAGAGAAAGTACTTCAAATTGAATTCAAGGGTGAGGCACTGTGGAGGGATGGAAGATGGAAGATAGAGAGTTCAATGGAAACTCAACAAGGCCAGGGAGCCCTTCAGACATTTTCATGGCATGCATTGTTGACATCACTGTCCCACAGGACAGAGACAGAGGTTGGCCTGGGGAGAAACTTGATAGGAAGACACATGTTTATTGACTGAGAACCTGCTCTGACAGAGGCACAGTGCCAGGAACTAGTCTCAATAACTATCTTTCCAGAAACTTCTATAGGATAAGGCAAGACTACTTCCCACAGGGTTTTTGTCAAAACATTCGATGGAGTAGTTGGCACTGCACTGCCTGTGGGGTGATTATCAGGCAGAGGAGGAGGTGAGGTACAGGTGTGGGTCATGTCTGGGGCCTTGAGGACAGGTACATAGTAGGGCTTCTTGCTCCATGAACCAGCTGAGAATAGGTAGGAAGTAGATATGAGGGAGAAGAAAGAGGAGACACTTAGCTGGGTACTGGTGGCTCACACCTGTAGTCCTAGTTACTCCGGAGGCTAAGATTTGAGGATCGTGGTTCAAAGCTAGCCCAGGCAGGAAAGTCTGTGAGATTCTTGTATCTAATTAGGCACCAAAAAGTCAGAAGTGGAGCTGTAGAGCAAAAAAGCTCAGAGACAGTGCCCAGGCCCTGAGGTCAAGCTCCAGGACACACATGGACACACACACACACACACACACACACACACACACATACACACACTGTTTCTAATTGTCTTGGATGGACTCTCAGGCTTGAACAGTTGTAGCTTTAAGTACAGTTTTCAGATCAGAATCCAACCATATAAACATCATTTTGTCTATCTGGATTGGAATGACTCTTGAATGGATAGAGGCAAGATATTAGCTCAGCTGGGAGATGAAAGATGAAAGAGGCTCTTTCACTATCTAACTTAACCAATAATCGTATCACTTAGGTAAATATGACAACGGGGTTAGTAAATGTTGCAGAATTAAGGTTGGAAATGATAATTAAACTTCACAACATATATTCTAGAGCTGAACTATTTAATTTTTATCATAAATAATTTTCTCAGGTACAGGATTGTGAGAAATTTATTCCCAATAGCTATGCTGTTTGATTTCTTGTAAATTATTCTATAAAATTAAAGAATAGGGCTGAGAAGGTGGCTCAGTGGTAGAGTGCTTGCCTTGCATGCATGAGGCCCCGAGTTCGATTCCTCAGCATCCCATAAGCAGAAAAAGCCAGAAGTGGTGATGTGGCTCAAGTGGTAGAACGCTAGCCTTGAGCTGAAGAGCTGAGGGACAATGCCCAGGCCCAGAGTTCAGGCCCCAGGACTGACAAAAAATAATTTAAAGAACATCAGTTGATTGCTCTTCAGTTGTAAGTTTTAGATGGTGAATTCATATGCTCAGAATTAGTGGACTAAATCAGTTTCCAGTTATCTCAGCTTCTGGGGCTAGGGGTATAGCTCAGTGGGTAGAACGCATGCTTAGTATGCATGAGGCCCTAGGTTTGGTCCCAAGCCCACACCCCTAACAGCAAGCAAACACACAACCTCTCTACACAGTAATTCCTTTATCTCTGTCTTCCCCTATCCCATACAAATATCATAAACTGAAAAATTGGCTTATCACTTAGGCTTCTTAATCAATGTAGACAATATGACAGACTTAAATATCCTTCCCCTAAAGCCTCTACCAAGCATTGGTTCAGTATTAGTCATAAGGTCATCACACCAATCAAATATCCTACCACATCTTGATGGCTCATAATTCTGGCCTTCCACTGGTGACAAGGCTGATGATGCCAGGTTCTTGGGTGTGCTTCAGAGAAAGTACCAGTAATGGAAGCCAGGCAGGGTGTTTGAAATCCAGCAGGCTATTCCTGAGACAACTGGTCTACCATGTGAAGCTTCTTCCAGCAAGTAATCTTTCCCTACAGAGCAGAGAGTTAATTGGAAATAATTAGCCTTCCCTCCTTTTCCTCTCTTTTCCCCTTCTTCTTCCTTCCTCCCTTCCCTATCCTTCTTCTCTCTTTCTTTTCCTATTTGCCTTCCTTGTCTTCTTGCTTCTCCATAGGGCATTATGCTAGGTATTGAGGGATCAACATGCTAAACCTGGTCCCCTACTTTCAAGGAGGAGTTAAGTCTAGAGAGGAGAATAACTATGGAGTAAAAAGAAGGGAATAGGTAAGATAGTTGGACTTAAAGAGACTTTAGGGTCTGTTTTATCTTCTACAAAATCTGGACACACATCTCTTGTTTTTGTTTTAAGACAAAATCTTAGCACTTAACCCAGGCTGACCTTGAACTGATCATCCTCCTGCCTCAGCCTCCAGAGGCCTGGAATCATACACTATAATACCTGAAGAGATCTATGCAAAGTCAGAGAAGATCCAGAAAACTCAGAGAGATCACTTACAATTCAGAGGCAAAATGCTACATAGCCCTAAATCACTGTCTCTTCCAGGCCCCCTCCTATTTCCGTCTCCTCAGCATTTCTATCCCTTTTGCTTAAACCTATGCAGTCTCTTAACCTGTAATAGAAGGGAAATTGAGAAGGGTGTCTTTTAACTTTGGGAGAGAGGAAAGCCATCTAAGCAACACAGGGCAACCAGAAGCCACAACAGAAAACACAGATATATTCAATTACATTTCTAAATATTGTGACAAAAATCACAGAGTCAATGTGGGTGTAGTGCTGCTCATCTCTAGTCCTAGCACTTGGGAGGCAGAAATAAGATGATGATGAATTCAAGTCCACTCGGGTGTCAGAGCACAACCTTGTCTCAAAAACAAAACAAAACCCAAAATATTTTAAAAGCAGAAAATAAGTAAGGAAACAAATAGTTGTAACTTTTTGAAAAACAAAAGACAAAAGTAAGAATATATCTAGCATCTTTATCCTATAATCTCCAGGAACCAGAAACAAATAAGATGTCCCTCAATAAGTAAATGGATAACAATGGCACACTGTATCATTAAATATTCCATGAGGAAGTAGTAGTGTGGATCAAGTGGTAGAGGCGCTGGTCTTGAGCTGAAGAGCTGAGGGACAGCATCCAGGCCCAGAGTTCAAGCCCCACAACTGACCAAAAAATAGAGATATAAAATTTGCCACGTGCTCACACCTGCTACCTACTCAGGAGGCTGAGATCTGACAATCAAGGTTCAAAGCCAGCCCAGGAAGGAAACTCCAGGAGACTTTTATTTCAAGTGGTAGAATCCTAGCCTTGAGCTGAAGAGCTGAGGGACAGTACCCAGGCCCAGAGCTGAAGCCCCACGATTGACCAAAAAAAAAAAAAAAAAATTCCATGAGAAAATGAAATGAGTAGCCCGGCATGGTGGCTCACGTCTGTAATCCTAGCTACTCAGGAGGCTGAGATCTGAGGATCAAAGTTCAAAGCCAGCCCAGGCAGGAAAGTCTGTGAAACTCTTATCTCCAATAAACCACCAGAAAACCAGAAGTAGTGCTGTCGCTCAAGTGGTAGAGGGCTCGCCTTGAGCTGAAGAGCTGAGAGACAGTGCCCTGGCCCAGAGTTCAAGCCCCATGACTGAAAAAAAAGAAATGAGTTATCAAACCACTAAAAAGACATAGAAG